GAGATTCAGCATTGGATCAGATGTGCATCTCAAGCCTTTGGCAGACTCCGTACCCGTGTCTTCAGCTGTAGGGACCTGCAATTATCTTCAAAGTTGCACATACATCGAAAGAAGTGGTCCTCCCCACCCTGCAATATGGCAGTGAGACATAGGTCACATGCAGGAGGCACCTCAAGGCATTTGAAAACTTTCACCAACGTAGTCTACGTTCCATCCTCAGAGTTCGCTGGGAAGACAAGAGAATAAATGCCAGTATTCTTGCTGATACCAACTGCAGGAGCATCGAGGCTATCATTACCCATGAACAACTACATTGGACTGGCCATGTTACTCGCATGAACGACAGGAGACTGCCAAAGCAGCTACGTTACAGTCACCTGACGAATGGTAAACGTAACTCTGGCGGGCAACTGAAAAGGTATAAGGATAGTCTTAAGACAAACCTGAAAAAGTGCCAAATCGACCCCTTCACCTGGGAGACAATCACTCCACGCCGTAACGCTTGGAGGAGCACCACACGAGAAGGTGTCAATACTTTCGTGTCAGCCCGACTGCATACTGAGGCAGACAAGCGCCAACGCCAGAAAGACACTGCCACCACCCCTCCCACACTAGATGTAGCCCTCCATATGTGCAACATCTGTGGACGACCATGCCGTCCCATATCGGCCTCTTTAGTCTCCTCAGTGCTCAGCACCAAAGGTGTCATCCCTAATGACTTATATAATTTTATCATAGCTGGATGATCGTCATACTCGATTCCGAGTGACAGCAAAGTAGTAGTAGTAGATTTTTTATCCCTTCCCAGGAGGATTACCATCACCGGTGTTTGAATTTTTTTCCTAAAATCATACCATTTTTCTCTGGATTAATGTGTGTTGAACTTATAGCTAACCAATCACAGTGCAGCATTATGGACGAGTTTATTTTAAGATTGGGGGACTAAAACTGCTGATTCACAGGTCCGAGAGGAAGAAAGTGTGCAAGGGATTGATGGCTGCTGGCAATTTCAAATGGCCACTTGAGGAATTTCTGACAACAAACATTTTTGGGTTTGGACGAATGTTTCTTGCTCGGAAAAGGTCCGGACTTATGGGGTCCTGACCCTCGGGGATTTACTGCATTTCCAGTACAATACTAAACTTACAGCCTTACAATCTACCCAAACGAACATCACTTTTACTGTCTCGAAATTTCTTCGGTTCTCAGATCTTTTTGGCTTTGGGAATTTGGGGTAAACAATTTTTGTCTTATATATTAGGATGTTATGTGGAGGTTATTCCTGAACCTCGTTTCTCCTCCTCTTTTCTCCTCCTTGTTTTATAATGAAAGTGTTTGGGTAAATATGAATCAGTTTATGAGATATTTTCAAGAAGATAACCTGGGATCTGCCTCCATGTATCATACTTTAGTTACATTCTCTGCTTTCAAAACTGTATATTGAAATAAACTTTACTATGTCTTTATTTTTATTTTATTTTTTACTTACAGAGTGAACAAAAATTCCTGCTATGTTGGAAATATGACAGCAATGTGGGTGATGCTTGGAAAATCCTCATGGCCAGATTGTCAGCTCAAAAGGTGGGTTCTCTAATAATCACCCATGAATTCTTGCATCTTTTTTTTTGTGTTTAAGAATATTAAGTTGCTATGTAGAGACTTTTTGATGAATTGGAAGGGTTGGTAGAATTACAAGTTGTCAATGGGTGTACAGTATAGTCAGTGATGGGCAGCAATACACTAATTTGTCTAAAGCTAGGATTCCATATACAGTATGCCTTTGTGTTAAATTGCCTTGGAAAATGGACACCCTTGTTTCCTGTTGTAGTTGCATAATCTGTCTATACAGCTGGAACAGGACAGGAAAAATGACTCCCAGCCCATTGAAGCTATGGCGCTATTTATATGAACTGGATGATTTGCTATTAATTATCCTGGTTTTTGTATAAGATCATTTGTACAAGTATTCCAAAAAACCCATTTATTGAGACCATGAATTTTCATTTTAGAACAAATGCGTCAAAAATGTATGGATATAGTAAAATAATATATACTTATTTACCTGATTAAAGACCACTTACGAGGTTTCTAAATGCATTACACTAATAGGTATTTTTGTTGGGATATATACTGAGTGAACTGATGTAACAGTTGCTAATTTTCTAAGAACACAGCAGATAAAGGCTGTATAAAATTAAGTTGTTTAGTTGGTCTCATTTCCCATTACTTATTTGTGAACTGTATAGCTATAGCAAGACCTAGTGACGTCACAGTGTGGGAGTCCCTCGTCCGTTTCCGTGCAGTTGCGTTTTCAATCGCTACATGGACCTATTGAAATGTACTGGAAGCGCATAACGCTAACGCATTCATGCCATACCAATGGAAACAACTACAGTATGTACATTTCAGTATGATCTTTTTGGGCGCTATCGCAACCGCGTGAATGGAATCCTAGCTTAAGGGGAGCGTCCAGTTGAAAATAAGACAAAAATCGGAAAATTACGAAAATATTCAGAAAAATTCCTGAGGAAAGCTGTTGCCTATGGATAAATGCTGACATATTTTTATTGTGTAATTCATAATATTTATGTAGCTATGCATGATTGCCCCCCTCCCCTTCATTTAGAGGGCCTTCTGTTTACATAGGACAAGCTGTAGTAAAGTATTTATAATAATATTTTGGTGTAAAGTCATACCAATCACTTGGTTAAAATCAGTATCTGGCACCTTTCTCAGCGAGCTAACCACAGAAGACCGTCGTCACAAGAGTCAGTGACCCATCAAACATGCGAGAGTGAGGTTTGCTCTCACGCCACCTTTATCGGCGTGTATCTCAGCATGAGTTTTTCTAATCTTCAAATCCCTAAGGCTCAGCCATTTAGGGGTCGATTCCAATAAAACAAAAACTAAGTACTGTAGTAGAATAACATACACAGTAAACCCTTGTTATTCGTGAGGGACAGGTGCCAAGGAATGGCGCAAACAGCATCTTATACTACCTTAGTGCACTACTGTACCAAACAACTGACCAGCCAGGGCAGCAGCACTCATCCCCTTCTTTAACTTATCTAATAATAAAACTTTCTTTGTCAGGGTCTTCACTGGCTTCTGCCTTTTACATTTCACTCCACTAGCATTGACACTAGGCAGTCTTTTAGGGGCCATTTCACACAGAAACACCTACGTTTTGAGAGTACAACACGAGATGCTGCGTGGGGTGACTCGTTGTGCTGCGGGAAAAAGCTTGTAAGCTAGCCTTCATAGCCACCTTCTTCTTACTGTAAATCATCAAAATCGAGAACCGCAAACCCGCGGATGGGAAGGCCCTACTGTACTGTGCCTGGCCCATTATATAGATTTTCTTTACACAGTGGTCCCTCGGTTAATGAACGGTTCGATTAACGAAATTTCGGTTAACGAATTAGCTCCCATAAGGATTTTCAGTTCGATTAATGAAATCCTTACGACAAACGCGTAGTGTTGTGCGCATCGGCTGATTGGCTAGTCCGCCAATACAGTAATTGGTTCTATGTTTACATTCGTTTCCAGTGAAGTAAATATCAAGAAAGTTGGTCTCTTGAATATTTCTGCATTTTTTATATTAAAATTATTGGTCATTCTGAAATTTAATTAACATATTGATAATATCCGGTGCAGAAATTATTATGAAACACGAAGAAGGCATTAGAACCAATGCACTCTGTAAAGAATATGGCATGTCATCATCGACTGCCTCTACTGTACAATCAGCTGTTTGATATGTAAACAAAGCTGCCGGTAATATGACATACACACCTCAAAGTAAGTTAAAATACAGTATTCTATTGTTTTTTATTTATTATTGTACTGTATACTGTACAGTACAGTACAGTACAGTACTGTATTTACCGGTAGTTTATATTTAATGTTTTGTTTATTCTATTACTAGTACAGGTTGACAATCCCTTATCCGAAATCCTTGGGACCAGATGCATTTCGGTTTTTGGAATTTTTCGGATTTCAGAATGGTTATTTATTTTTTTATTTTTTTTTTTGGGGGGGGTGGGGGATCAGCCTACCCGGGCACAAGTCACTGACCCACATTGGGGCCTGGGGGCTAAAATATAATAATAATAATAATAATAATTACAATAATAATAAAAATTCATAGGTCTAGGTCATGTTTCTCACTTTTGATCTTTTTTCATTCTTGTATTTATTATTATTATTATTATTATTTCATTATTACAGTATTATTGTTATTATTATTATTATTATTATTGTATTTTTCATTCTTATTTTATTTTTGTATTTTTTATTACAAATTTTATTTACTATGAATAATTATTATTATTACTTTATTATAATTATTATTTATTACCTGTATTATTATAATTATTATTACTATTACATTTTCACCTCCCAGTCCCTGATGTGGGGCAGTGACATGTGCCCGGGTGGGCTAATACCCATAAAAAAAAATTGCTCCACCAAATTTTCTTTTTTCGGTTTTCAGAGCTTTTCGGTTTTCGGAATTTCGGATAAAGGGTTGTCAACCTGTATATGGCTTTTCTTTGTATGCACTTTTTCTGTGAGTTGGAACCAATTACCCAATATCCCATTGAAATAATAGATTCGGTTAACGAATGACTCTGTGGAACGAATTGTGTTCGTTAACCGAGGGACCACTGTAATTGGCTTGATTTATTATTTGCTGATTTGCTTTTTAAATATTTAGAAAAAATGGTAAGTTGGGAAAAAAATTCATGCACCCAATACGAAAGCGATAATGAGAAATATCTATATGTTAAGTTGAAGAAGAGTAAATTACCTATATTCCACATGAGTTTCAACATAATCTAATGAGAAGTTATGGAGAAGTAGGATTTTTAAATTTGATAAGAATGTACGTAAGGAAAAAATCAGATACAGTGGGGTATGCTATAACGAATCTAATTTGTTCTAGAACCTCGTTCGTTATAGGATTAATCCATTCCAGGCCCCCAAATACAACCACTTAACACTGAAAAAATTCTGTGGAAAATGTAAAAAATACAGTACTTTATCTTACCTTAGTGTTGTTCAGCATGCAGGACAGGAGGCAGAGGAGGAGGGGGGAGGAGAGCATTATGTAGAAGAGGTGGAAGGAGAGGAGTCATCCTTCCTAGCCCTCTTTGGTGACTGTAGGGTCTTTTGTTACCTTTGTAAAGAAGGAATCCAGGGTTGGCTGCTTCAACCTTGATTTCTGGACCTTCCAAAAGTAGTTCATAACATGTCATTAAACACACTGATGGCCTTTTGCACAGAACCAACATCAGGATGATAATCCTCAGCAAGTTTGGACAGTTTGCTCCAGCAAAAGAACGCATCCTTGAGATCTTTGGCTGGAAAGATGCGGCTTTCCTCCTTGTCATCCTTGTCCTCCTCCTCCCCTGACTTCTCAGAAGTTAAGCTCCGCTTCAGTGTCTCGTTTTGTTCTTTGTGAAGCTCAAGCAGCTCCTCAGTGGACAATTCCTTACTGTGCTCTTCCATCAACTCCTCAACATCATCATCATCCACTTCCAGGCCCATGGAATTGCCCAGAGCCACAATTTCATGAACAACAGCCTCTTCTTCTAACTCTTTGAAGCCTTCAAAGTCTCTTTGAAGCACACATTCAGGCCACAATGGCCTCCAAGCAGCACAAAGACACTTCACAGTAACCTCTTTCCAGGCTGAGGAAATTAAAAATACAGCATCTGCTGTATTGAAGTGACTCTTCCAGAATTCCTTCAAGCTAACATCACTGGAAGAAGTGGACACAAAACATTTTCTAAACAGTGCCTTTGTGTACAGCTTCTTAAAGTTAGAAATTACCTGTTGATCCATGGGCTGGATGAGAGGTGTTGTGTTGGGTGGCAAGAAGTGCACAGTGATGAAGTTGAACTCCTCTGGCAATTCAACCATCAAATTAGGAGGGTGGGCTGGTGCATTGTCCATCACCAACAAAGCTTTCAGTGGAAGATTATTCTCCCTGAGGTATTCCCGAACACTGGGTCCAAACACCTCAATCACCCACTCAGAGAATAAATTCCTGGTCACCCAAGCCTTTGGGTTTGACCGCCACATAACACCAAGGCGGGTCTTCCTAATGTTTTTGAAAGCTCTGGGGTTTTCTGCATGGTACACAAGGAGTGGCTTTATTTTGCAGTCACCAGAAGCATTAGCACAAAGAAGGAGGGTAAGCCTGTCTTTCATTGGCTTATGGCCAGGGACAGAAGTTTCCTCCTTGGTAATGTATGTACGGTGAGGCATTTTTTTCCAAAAACGTCCAGTTTCATCACAGTTGAATACCTGCTGAGAAACAAAGCCTCCCTCTTTAATAACATTCAAAAAAATGTCATGGTGTTCCTTAGCTGCTTCCTTATCTGCACTAGCAGCATCACCATGTCTCACAACACTATGTAATTTATTTTTCCTTCTGAAACCAGTAAACCACCCCTTGGTACCCCTAAACACTGGCACATCACTATCACTTCCACTGGGAGTCTTGGCTTTAAGGTCCCCAAACAATTGTCTGGCCTTCTCACAAATTATAGCTTCACTAATGCTATCACCTGCCA